TTCTTGGATTATATTTTAATTATTCTCACCATTCTTGTTACGATTATCATCACCAAGATTTGTCTCCGACTCTCTAAACCAAACAAGAACCTTCCACCGTCGCCACGTATATGTTTTCCGATCATCGGACACCTTCACCTCCTCAAACAGCCGTTGCTTCACCGTACTCTCAGCCGTCTCTCGCACTCCCTTGGCCCCGTGTTCTCTCTTCGCCTCGGCTCTCGCTTCGCCGTTGTGGTCTCGTCTCCGGCCGCAGCGGAAGAATGTTTCTTGACTAAAAACGACATCGTTTTAGCGAACCGGCCTCGTTACACCATGGGAAAATACGTGGCCTATGACTGGACTGCCATGGTTACGGCTCCTTATGGTGACCACTGGCGAAACCTCCGTCGTATCACCGCCTTGGAAGTCTTCTCGACGTATAGACTCAACGGCTCAGCGGAAATCCGACACGACGAAGTAAAGAGGCTTCTCCAAAAGCTTCACGGTTTATCCGTTGAACGCCCGGCTAAAGTAGGTTCACACAATATCTCATCTTACTTTTTTTTGTTACATATATCTCATCTTAATTTAGAACCTTACTTTTTTCTATTTATTTAATTCATTGGTTGTTAATTTACACAATACTTATATTACTAATATGATACCAATAAAACGAATTGCTAACTTTTGGCATATATTTATATATTTTCATGTCGTATTTTAGTTAAATATTTGTCCTACAAATGAGTCTCAATTTAAATCAGTAATACTGTAATATATAGATCGAAATATGTGTTTCAGATTTATTATATTTTTAATAATGTTCTACTAAAAACCATATGTAATATTTGAATTAATTAATAATTATAGGGAATTTGACATCAATAACTCAAAAAAGTTACAATTAGCAATCTAACTTAAAGCCGTGATGTAGCAAAATCATAGCAATTAAATCATAGACATCAATAACTCAAAAAATTACAAATTTTTTTGTTGTTGTAAAGATTTAGATATGATTAAAGGACATGTCTAGTGGTATATATATCCAATATTAATTACAAAGCAGAAAAATACTAATCATTGATGTTACAGGATAATCAAAGACTCAATAGCGTGTATTTTAATTCTTTGACAAACAAATTCCCGATTTGCTAGGTATTTCTTTTTGTATCAATATCAGAATCGAGACGATATAATATGTTGGTTTACATCCGGTAAAGAATTAACCAATCATATCAACCCATAACAAGAACTTCATTTTCATAGGTAGAGTTGCGACCATTACTCACAGGTCTTACCCTAAACGTGATAATGAGAATGATGACCGGAAAGAGATTTTTCGAGGAAAATGAAGAAGGCGGAAAGGCAGAGATAAGCTTAGAGTTCCGGGAGCTAGTTGCGGAGATATTAGAGGTTTCTGCGGTTGGAAATCCCGCGGATTTTTTGCCCGCTCTACAATGGTTTGACTACAATGGTTTAATTAAGAGAGCAAAGAGAATTGGGGAAAACATGGATAGTTTCTTACAAGTATTTTTGGATGAGCATAGAGCTAACAAAGAAAGATTGGAGTTTAAGAACACCATGATTGCTCATTTGCTTGATTCTCAAGAAAAAGAGCCTCATTACTACAATGATGTTACCATCAAAGGTCTCATTCTGGTATGTCTTTCTAAATATCCCTTGATCTTATTGTTTTGGTTATACTATAGTAAGAAAGTTAACTTTGTATGAACATAACTGATTCAAATCGAACCAATTAACCTAAGTAAAAGCCAAACCAAACTAAAATTCAGCTAAAATGTTTATTTTCAGTAAATAGCTAATAGTGTGAAAGTGATCACTTTGGATAGATCGATACCATTCCAACCGAACAGAAAAAAATTGATGTAACAATCAAAACAAACATACATATCTAATAAGATGAAACTACACCAAACATAGAAAAGCATCCAAGCTTAATTTTTATTGTAACTTTTTAATTAAGTGTTTACATAAAATCAATTCAAACCAAAACAAGTGGTTTCATCAAAAAAATTCAAATTGCTTAGATATACCTGCTAACCTG